AGGACAGGAGCTTTCAGTGGCTGCTGGGGACCAGGTTCTGAATTTGTGACAAAAAAACCCAGTCGTGTTCTCACTGGGTCTGGCAAGGCTCCATCACGGTCAGTGAGTGTCCACTTCAGCTGACACCAGGTTACATACTCGAAATACACGTGAATTTGCAACTTAATAGGGCTGTGTCAAAAAAGAAAAATCCATATGTAATTTTGGGTGGCTCATGCTGAGACATCATGCTACCAAGCTGACAAAGCAGTACTCTCTTCAGGCCAGATCCCAAAGTAAACTTAAGCCAGTATGAACATTGCCATGGATTTTAGAGGATTTGAGGCTGGTGAGGCCACATCTTGAACACCATTCAATTTTGGACACCTGATTACCCCCAAGCCACTGACAAACTGGGAGGAGTTCAAAAGAAAATGTCAGTAACAGAGTTTAAGGTAACTGGCTTAGGAAGACTGAAGAGTTAATAAATTATTAATAGCTTGGCTAAGCAGTATCTCAACAGTCTTTGAAGCAGGGAGGCATAAAGGAAGGAGCAAACGGTAGAGGGGAGCAATATCTCACAGGGTGACCGTGCCACAACAACCAGGGTGAGGTAAGGCTGGGAGAAGCCCAGGACTGAAGGCTGAGCCACTTGAGGGATGTCTCTGCCCCTGCCACCTACAATGCCCCACCACCTTAGGACTCCAAGATGCAGTGGATGGGGGAATGCAAAATCAAGAAAAAAGTGCAGAGGCTGAAAATTTGTGTATGGTTTTTACTGTGTTATTCTTTCCTGTAACAGCTAGATTTGGACTAATAATGATTAGACCCTTAAAATTTAATTTGTGGTATCAATAAATTCTTGCCTTTACTTGATGATCATCGCTTTTGTCCACAAACAAGATTTTGAGTGTAACGAGAGCCAGGGTGCAGCTTTGCAGATGGGCATTCAGTTGGACACGTGGCTTATTTTCACCACCTGAAACTCTATGGCCTGTGATAATCTGTGCAGATAGAGATACCCCTTCAGAGGAAGAGGATGAGGTCAGAACTGCTGGAGATGTCCCATGGGATATTTAATGTTCCCAAGGAACCTGTCATTTGCCATCATCTGAAAGACACCACAAGCAGTAGTAAGTTGCCCCAAAACAGCAGGCTTTGGCACTAAATCATATCTGAAAGAAACACCACTGGGCTTCACTAAGTTTATTTTTGCATTCAGTTCAGCAGTTTTTCATAGCAGTAATTTCCTTTGGATTCCCAGGAGGCAGAGGGGGTGTAGAGGGATCTGACTAGGCTCATGGCAGGGTCTGCAGCCCTTGACAAAGAAGAGCAGGACAGAAAAACAGAGACCAGCCAAGCCCTGAAGAGAGGCTGCTTTGCCTTTTCCACTGCCTGATCATGCTGTGTTATCATAAACCCAGCACAGCACAATTGCCAATACCCTTTCTTGCTCTTACTGCTTTTCCTGAGGCTGAAAACAGTGGGAGCATCGGTTCAGTTCAGCTCTGAGATGTTTTCCCTGTTTTGCTTCTCTGAATTGCTCAGGCTGCAGATCAGATGTCTTTATTTCAAATACAGCATAATTGTGCTCCCTAGCTTTAAAAAATGCCAGTGTGTTTTCTTCTGTCAAACTGTAAAACACAGGAGAGATGCAAATGAGAGGAATTATTAGTGAAACACAATGCTTCAAAGGAAGAAAACATAACACACACACAAAAAAATCACATCTCAAACTCTGAAACTAGATAGAAAGCTGGATGCAAAGAGTGTTCCTTCACTGTGCCACATCATCTGAGGGACTGGGATTCTCTTACATGTGAAATTTTTTATTTCAGAAAACTTTCAAGAGAAATTTTTTCCCTCTCCATGACAAAGGCAGAGAAAGCCTGACATGTCCAGTCACCTTCTGACTTTTTAATACAGTAGACATTCATGGGCCAAAGGCAAAGGCATAAACCTCATTTCTACCATGGAAGAAAGATGAACTTCCAATGCCAGCCTAGTGTACAACCCCCAGGTACAAGAGGGAGGAAGCCCATGGGATCTTCCCCCACATCTTGTTATACCAGGATGTATTCTCCTCCATGCAGTCCGTGCTGCACACTGGGGAGTTGCCAAGGCATCCTGGGGTGAGCACCTCCCTTGGGAGACAGGCTGAAATCATGGTGCTTGGAGAGGCGGCATCATGGAACCACCCAGCAGGCTGACCCCCACCACAGTGCTGGCAGTACTCCAGTGAGGCTTCAGGCAGTGACCTGTCCCTCCTGGCATTCCCCACCACCACCACCACCACCTCCTGCACAGCCCCCACAAGAGGGAGGAATCTGTAAATGCCCTTATCATGAGTAAACAAAGTTAATGTTTTATTAACATTGACACCGAGTTCCCAGTCAGCGCTGGGTGAACTTAGAGCAGTTCAAGCTGGTATGGCATGTAAGGAGCCTGGGATAAAGCCAGGCCTGGTGTGCCAGGGAGTGCTGGCACACAGGTCTGCTTAGGACAACATCTCCAAGGGATAATGTCTCAACCTGGATCTAACCTTTTAGGCACAGTGCTGCAAAAGTGGCCTTCAAGCTTATTGCTCAAGCTGCTAATTATGCAAACCATGGAAAGAGGAAGGGGCTTCACCTCCCTGTTTGTACATATCATTCAGCTGGCTCGGGACACAAACACTCCACTGGCACACCAGGCCTGGCTTTATCCCAGGCTCCTTACATGCCATACCAGCTTGAACTGCTCTAAGTTCACCCAGTGCTGACTGGGTGACTGGGACCTTGCAAACATATTCTCCATTGGTTTCTTTTGGAGCCTCTTGGTCTCCCTGAGCCCAGGCTTTGTCTTGCTGGTGCCTTGGTCAGCAAGAGAGAAAAAGTGCAATGGATCCTGCCTAGCCCTGTCCACCACCATGGCTGGACTGTGCAGGGGGGGAAGCCAGGCCACAGCCTCACCTGCAGCCTTGTGCCACTCCTTGTTCCTGAGCAACCTTCCCTCTCTCCTGTGTGACCTTCCCTCTCAGCTGTCCTTGCCTTCAGTGGCCAGCTCAAGGTCAGTGGTGCAGGCATTAAAATGTGGCCAAGGAAAGCAAACATTAGTCCCTCTTCGAGCAGTTTGGGGTACACTGAACACAACAAATGTCTTTGGGTCAAGGGACTGGCACTGCAATGGGACCAGGGCTGGCTGCAGTAGCCACAATGCCACGGTAGTGTGGCAGGGATGGACACTGATGGGCAGCCCTGTAGGGGCAGATGAGGAAAGGGGACACTGGGTGAATCCTAATGGACTATAAATCAAGAATGAGTTTAGACCAGCCCTTCTGTGGGGCCATGAAGAGTTGCCCACTGGTCAGTAACAAGTGTCCTTACAAATTACTGCAGCATCCAGGAGCCCTTCGACAGAGCCTATAGAATAGCAATTGCTCCATCCTACCTTGATAAAGCACTTCAGGCAGGCAGCATTCATTCTCACTCATGTGCAAACTTTCCAGGATAATCCCAGATTTGTCACAGCTGCACATGGATGCTGCCCACGGCTCAGCCATGACAAGCATCTGGCAATTCACAAAGTTCCAAGTCAGCTTGTTTGTAAGGTGGTGGGAAATTCCCAGATTTGCAATGGGAAACATCTACACTCAGAACTCTTGTACTTATGGAGGTTCTGCTCTTGATGCTCTGCCCTTCTCTCTTCACGGTCTCTGTTGCTGCAAAACAGAGGAGGGACAGGGGACAAGTCCATGAAGGTGACATGGCTTGGGAGCAGGCTGTCCACATTCACAGCATGCAGAACACAGACCAGTGTCCCCTCTGAGCCCTTCATGCTGCCACTTGGATCTCACTGAAGACATAATTAATATTTTTGCATGCATTCCCAGGTCTGGGATTTGGAAGAGGGGAGGGCAGCCCATCAGGGTTTTTTGTGATATGAAACAGGGGAGACCTATTTCATGCTCAGGGACAAGGGATAATGGCCTTAAGCTGAAGGAGAGCAGGTGTAGATCAGATGTTAGGAAGAAATTATTTGCTGTGAAGGTGGTGAGACAATGAAACTGATTGCCCAGAGTGGGTGCTCCATCCCTGTAAGTGTTCAAGGCCAGGCTGAATGGATCTCTGAGCAATCTGGTCTAGTGGAAAGTGTCCCTGTCCTTGGCAAGGTGGGGTGGAACTAGGTAATCTTTATGGTCTCTTCCCACCCAAACCATTCTGTGATTCTACGAGTCTGGCTTGACTGAGTTGGGCTGTGTCCCAGTAGCAGTACTGGCCCCTCAGGGACACCACTGGTTGAAGCTGGATGCCCACATGCTGAGTCCCAGCTGTCATACAGCTGCCATCTATTCCTTGGTCTTTCCAAGCCAAAGCACAGCTTCCCACCAGCTCTGCAGATGTCTAACTGGGTGATGTGGAAATGGAAATCCTCCATGTTTGCCATCCAGTCCACTTGTGGTGGATGTGGTGCACCCTTAGTAAATCCCAACCACCTTCTTGTCTTCCATCTGCTTACAAACAGCTTCCAAAAGTAGTCGCATATTTAAAAAGCAATTACTTATAGTCTAACCATCCACCCTGCAATAGCCTATGTCCCAACAAATGGCTGCACATTGGAGTAGGAGAACTGTATCTACTACTTGCAGGTTACTTGGAAAAAAAGGTAAAAAAAGAAAGCCCAGAGAGAAACAAGTTCTCTGTTGCTTTATCTGCTCTGATAACAGCTATCACACAGAGTCTGTCGCAAACACTACGGGCTCTTGGCAAAATGCGTAACTCTGCTGACCTGCTAAGGCAGTCAAGAGAAAGGAGAAGGGCATTTGATAGGAACAAACTTTCCCTTGCCAGCGTTATCAACACCCTTTATAAAGGTTGATAGTGGTGAGCAGGGGCTTTCATTGGCGAAGGAAGCAATCTCAGTGACCTTCAGTGGAGAAGAAGGTATAAAACCCAAAGTCTTTTCCTTGGTCGACTGTCTGGGCAGCAGTTGAATTCCTTAGTTTCCAAGGAGGACGCATTTTTGGGAACTTTTCTGAGAAAATGGCAACTTTAAATGAAAAGAAGACCTGCAGCGAACGTATGGCAGATTTCCGTCGTTTCGTCTGGAATCCAGAAACAAAACTCTTCATGGGAAGGTCCTTAATTAACTGGGGTAGGTGTTCACCTGCAAGAGCCTTCTCTTCCTTCTGGCAGACCTAAAAACTGTGTGGGGGAAGGTGTTGTCCTAATGAGTGGGACACAGTGTAGGTATGTTGAAGCTAGCAGTTCTCATATGTACTTCTAAGCCACTTTTTGGGCAGCTCTATGAGCTGGATCAAGTAGATCAAAACACTGATCCATGTAGTTCCTGCAAATGCATGACTTCAAAGTGGTTTTCAACCAAATACTTCAAAAGGAGAAAAATTAACACATGAACAGGAAACTTATTAATAGCTAGGGGTGATGGTCATAGTGTGGTTTTGACATGGCTAATTAAAAGGGGGTTCAGGTACATGGAGAAATTTGCTTAATTGGTGAGTTTGTCCAATTCTTTGGAAACAAGTTTAATTTTTCTGAAATTCCTTTCTGAATTATTGTCTGCTCAGTAGATCTTGTATCTTACCACTGCATGCTAGCATGTACTTTATACCAACATGTATTTCATACCAGCAGGTATTTCACACCAGCATGTATTTTACAAAAGCAAGTATTTCAGCTGAGCCTCCCTTCCTACAGTCAAACTTGTGTCTACAGTGATGATCTGTATTATGATCTACATTCTGGGAAGAGTAGCCAGGACCATTGTAAGGAATATCCATACTCTTCCCACAGACTGTAGGAGTAGCTGCAAGTTTCCAGGTGATTTTTTCCTGCCTGTGCATGTAGTTTATTGGCTGCTCCTAAACCAGAATTTTACAGACAATACAATTGAAATGTGAGCCTTTCAAGCTGGTAGAAGAAGGTGCTACAAGGCACCTGTGATTACAAGTAGAGGTTTCTAATAGCACCCCTCCAAAACAACCACTGGCTGCTTGTACAGCACCAGTCATGTGTAAGGCACCTTATGAACATACAGACAAAAACACACCAATAATCTTTCATTATCTCACAGCAGAATTAAGTAGCAAGATGGCACATTTTGCTGTTGATGATTTCAGCTGTGTACGGCAGTGAAATGACACGGGTCTAAAACCAAAATTCCTGAAGTACTGTCATCTGTCATCCAAATAACACAAGGAGCAACATGGGTTTGTCAAAGAAATACCTCATCATCCGTGTCACTTAGCCCACGTGTAGTAAGTAGATAAATGGTCTTAGTATGTGAAATTACTTCAAGATGCCACATAACCTTTAAACTTCAAATAATCTGAGCTCAGCACCAACTCCTTCAAAAATCCCTGTAGAACTATACAATTTTTTTCTCTAAGAATATTTTTTGAGTGTAGAGAAAATGGTCCAAAGCACCTGTCCCTTTACAGGGAGAACTTCCCGGGGGACAAGGGTGGAAAGGAGATAGCTGCTGCTGCCAGGATCATCCTGGCTTCAGAGAGAGCACTGCACAGCCTTGCTCAAAATTTGAAATTCTGCCCTTATTCTTTTCCACAGTGTGGATCAGCCTCTACTACCTGGCTTTCTACGTGGTGATGTCGGGGCTGTTTGCACTCTCCATTTATTGTTTAATGAGGACGATTAATCCGTACGAGCCGGATTACCAAGACCAGCTGAAATCCCCAGGTACTGCCAGGGTTCCGTAGCAGCTGCGTGGGGCTGCCCTGGGCTGAGAGGCATTGGCAGAGCCCAGGGCTGTGGGGAGACCAACATGGAATAAATCAGGTCAATTCTGCCCAGACAATCCCTGCAAAGTTTAACCTCTGCCTGAAAACACTTTCAGGCTTTAAAAAAAAAATCTGGTACATTTATTTATGTATTGATATATTAATATACCTATATATCCATACATTTATGAATAAGTAATATGAATTATATATATATTCATTTATTCATCTTGCTCTTCGGGTGATCAGTCTGCCTGTAGCAGGTCACCTTCTCTCCCCATGGGCAGGGGTCAGTCCCTGGGGAAGTCCTAGGTTCTACTCCAAATCCCCAAGCACCAGAGGGCTTTGGGGTGTCCAGCAAGATGTAGAGGTGATGGGGTGAACAGCCTGGGGTGGGTATTTCCATGCTTGCCCAGCACCATGGAAAGTCCCTGGGAGAGCAGATCCTTGTCAGCAGGATGTGCTGTGCCAGTAGTCAAGGAAGTAAAAATAAGACAAATACAGGAATACAGATTTGTGGGACATGAAAAGAGATAGGGGAGATGATCAGAGACCCTCAGATCAGTACACTGATAAAACTTCACACCCCAATGGCTTGTTTCCAAAATGGGAGGGGAAAAAAAAATAGCCCTAAAAATTATTCTGTCAGATACTTTTTTTATTTTGAAGTTTCCACTCCCAGTATTCAGCAAGTTTGGTGTTTGCTGGGAAAACAATTCCTGTGACATATTATGTGTGGCTTTTTCAAAAGTTGTTTCTCGTGCTGCCGTATGATCTGTTTCTTTAACCTGACTGTTATTGCTAACAAGTCCTGGGGAAATCCAGTGCAATTGCTGGAATGATTTTACAAGCTCTTTTTGTAACAGCATGGATAGATGTGAAAAGAAAATAATTTGGCAGCAGCACAAAGCTTTAGGGTTTTGGTTGAACAACTCACAGCTGAGGTGATTTCTGTATATGGTTAAATCCTCCCCAAAAAAGGCTGGAAGATCTTACACACTTAAAATGAGTCTTGATGCAGCATAATTGCTACTGTCAATTTAAATAAACAAATCTGTGCCTGGCAACTCTCCTCTGCTTTGTCTTCCATTTTCTTCCTTGCGAAGGCGTAACCTTACGACCTGATGTGTATGGGGATAGAGGACTACAGATTTATTACAACGTATCTGACAACAAAACCTGGGAAGGTTTAGTGACAACTCTTCACACTTTTCTGACAGGTAAAAACTAAACTTCTTGCATAATACTGGAAAAAGGTGCTGCCTTATTTCCCATTCTAGGTCTAAGGACTTTAGGTCAGTGCTTCCATTTTACATTTGCCCTTCCCAAACCACAGATTTTGACTGGAAAGTGCATCTTCTGAAAGGGATGAGCAAATCACCTCATGAATCTATAAATCAAGCATATGTACACTTCTATTAAAATCCAGGCTCTGCTTCAGGGCTTTTACTTTGTTTAATCCTAAACTGTCTTAATAAAATAGACCAATAGAAAGTCTGATGGAAGAGAGAGGACAATACGTCTTCAAAATTAGTCTCATCTAAATTAATCTAATTAATTTGTCTGTGACTACAAACATCAAAATGCCATAATAAATCTCATAAAGCATGGTGTCTCCAGAGAATACTCAAAGTAGGTTATGTGCTCCAATTGCCTGTTCATGTCTTAACACATTTATATTCCTATTGAGCCTTAATATCATAATTCTTCATGTTTCTCACACACATATTGAGAAAATATTTTATTTGAAACTGACTTTATATGGAGCTATCAACACAAACTGCCAGCCTTAACTCAATTCAATCTCTTTTAATTTGCTTTGGTTGGATATTAAAAAACTAAAAACATAACAAAACTGAACCAAAGCCCTAAACAGTTTAAACTTTCCTTGTTCCATCTAATCCCAACTTCACTTGAAGTACAGTCTCCCATGATAGAATCTCTGGCCTGATGTTGGGATGTATAATTTGCATATGAAAAGCTTCAGAGGGTTGGTTTTTTTTTCTTTCTTCCTTCACACATCTAGCATATACACCAGCTGCTCAGCATCTGAACATCAACTGCACCAATAATACATACTTCATCCAGGACACCTTTGATGGCCCGAATAAAACAAAACTATCCTGCAAATTTACCTCAGACATGCTTCAAAACTGCTCCGGCATCACAGACCCAACTTTTGGATTTCCAGAAGGAAAGCCCTGTTTTATTATAAAAATGAACAGGGTAAGTACAAGTTCAAGGTGCTGAGCAGAAAAAAACTAAGAGTAGCTGGAGTCTCTGCTGGGGAGCTGCTGTGTCTTTGCTGCTGTGGGTTCTAAACTCTGCTTTCTACTGAGAATCAAAAATCATGTCTTTTTCCCTGACAGACCTCTGGAGTTACCAGGGAAGTCCAAACTTTTTCAGCATTCCTACAAAAGTAATAGAGGGCAGTGATCTCTGAAGTGACTCTCTATAGCTCAGTTCAGTTCAGTTTAGCTCAGTTAGTGCCTCTGTAGGGCTCTCATCCCAAACTAGCACCGAAAGTTTCATCCTGCAATACCACATTCCTGTGCCTTCAGCTGAGGCATCAGGATGTGACAATAACTGATATGCTTTCAGAGAGGTGATATCTTATTTCTCCAGGAAGCAAAGAAAATATTTAGAAGAACCTATAAAGCCAAAATTCAAATCTGGAGGATACTTTTCTCAGGGAAAACCATCAATACGTTTTTTGGAAAGGAATAAAGGGAATTTTCAATGTTTTAATTTTTTTTTTCAGGATGTAGACAAAGGCATACACACTTTATATTTGGTTTTGGGTAAAATTATGAGCCCTCTGATTCAGTTTGGGTAGAAAGTGAAGGGCTCAAATTCCCCTCCAGTTTCTGATAAAAAAAAACACTGCATTTTTTGTTTGGCTTGCACCTTAGGTATTTCCAAAAATCTGTGCAAGCCCTAACTGGGAGGGGAGCTGCACCCCTGCCTCTGTCTGGTGAAACAAGTTTTTCCCAAAAATGCCTTCTTTAGCAAGACTGGGTGCCATGCCCAGCAGGGATAAGATGTGAATAGTGACCAGGGGGCTTCACCCCCTTTCACTTTTGCCTCTACAGGATGCAACCTCTCTAGCTCTGTAGGATCAAACTAATCCAAGGGTTTTTCTGCCAAAACCAAGGTTTTCTAAGAAGGATAAGATCAAAAGCATGGATATTCAGCTTTTCCTTTACTGACATACAATTAACAGCTTTAGGAGACCACTGGCTGCCTGGGCATCAGCAAGGACAGGTGGTATGGGTGCGTAAATGAGCTGGACTTGCAGGAGGTGCAATGCTACTTGCTCTGGCCAGGCTAGACCCTATCAGCAGTGCTCATCCCAGGTAATGCCATGTCCTGCTTCCTAAATATCCAGCCACTACAGATTTCCACCTACATAAATGAGATGCTTTGTTTGAGAAAACCTTCCACAAGAACATACTAAGCATCCTTTGAAGCTCAGCTCTCAAATAATTGATTGCCCGGTTTTATCTCAAAACAATTTCCAAGATGACCAAATGTGTTTTCTTTTTCAGATCATCAAGTTTTACCCTGGCAATGGCACTGCACCAAGGGTGAACTGCACATATGTGGTAAGGGTTTGAGGTCTGGGTCTCACACGTTTCAAGCACTGCAGCTTTGAGAGCAAGAAAGTGCAGTGGTGACCAGAAAAAATACCCTTGCAGCTCTGAAAATCAGATCCCGAATACTTGGAATATTCTCAGTTTTCAAGCTCTTGCACCAGATGACATGCTAAGGAAAAACCTCCAAGTTTGCTTCATTTTAAGTCACCTGAAAATTTGCATTTTCAGGCTGCAGAGAACATTAGCTGTTCGCTTTCAGCTCCCTGTAGTGATGTTCACACCTCAGCACAGCTCCCTCATGCTCTCAGCAAGTCCAACTCACCGAATTCCCAGCTGCTACCAAAGGACACTTGCCTGCTTTTCTTGGCAATAGTAACAGCGGGAGATTCCCACTTTTACTTGAAAAATAAGGCTGGTGCTAAACAGCCTGCTGAACTTGAGCTTTAACACACACTTAACAGCCCTAAAACCCTTGCCTTGGGCTGGCTGTTTCCTCACCAACAGAGCTTCTTCCTTTCTTGTTTTACAATCAGGGTGAGGAGTCTCGCCCGCTGGAGGTGGACTACTACCCCGTGAATGGCACCTTCAACCTGCACTACTTCCCCTACTACGGGAAAAAGGCTCAGGTGGGTGCTCCTGTATTTAACTTTTCTTTCTATTTATGTAAGGTGAAACATGTGGACCATCTTTGCTATCCTATGAGAACCAAAGAGGCTATTTCCAAGACCTCATTTTTAAACTATAAGTGTAAAATTTAAGTATTTTCTGGGGTTTTTTTTAATTTGTTTTTTTCATTTCTTCTCCTAGCCCAGCTACAGCAATCCCTTGGTAGCTGTGAAATTTCTCAACATTACAAGGAATGTAGAACTTAAAATAGTGTGCAAAATCATTGGAGCTGGAATTACCTTTGATAATGTTCATGATCCGTATGAAGGAAAAGTGGAATTTAAACTGAAAATAGAAGACTGAGCAGCAACAGGGACACTTCTGAAAGATGTATGAAGAGTAAACTTATCACATTCATTGATATTTATTTTCTCACTATGGTTCCCATATAAATTACAGTGCAGAGACATTTCCTACTGCAAGATGGCCTATAGAGCTAAAAATCAAGATCCTACTCTCTGTGTGTAAAGATGAAGATTATCTCAATGTACATAACTTAATATTTCATGGCTACAGGATGCTGTTGCCTTCATGCAAGTATTTGTACAAAACAAGTTTCCCCCAAAAGGTGCAGCTGTTCCTTCAAAGAACATTAAGTATAGACTCAAACGATTATTTTCAATCACTTTTCAAACCATAAAAAATAATTGATGTATGATACTAAATCCTGGCTATTGAGAAATTAGATAGCTTGAAAAGGCAATCAATATTCTGAAATACTAGCAAGTAATTACATTTTCAATCTCTGTTGTATAGGATGTATAAAAATGCATTAAAATTATCTGTATCCCAAGGCATTGGCTTTTTGCACTAGTCAGCTGAGTCAGATTTTTTTTAGTTGACATATCAATGACTGCAAAAGAAGTGAACTTGAAATCTGTCCTCTAGCTCACAGATTTCACTGTACCACTTACCTCTATGTATATAACGTAATAAAAATGACTGGTAAGACTGTAACATCCAGCTACATCCAAGAAATGGTTCATTTAACTAGAGGTTGTAACTTGTTTGGGGGTTTTATTTGTTTGGTGTTTTGTTGTTGTGTTTGTTGTTTTTGTGATGGTTTTCATTGTTTTACCCAGCAGAATAGCCCCATATTGCAATGGTGAGTTTTGGGTTACTTGGAGTAATCTGAAAGATGCTGAAATAACACTAAATCTTTAAGTGAACCTAAACTTTGAGAAGTCTGACTGAATCACATGCAATACAAAGAGACAGAATTGTTGTGTCTGTATAGTATATTAATGTTACCTGAAGTCCAGGATGTTCCAGCCAGAGAATAAACACTGCACACACCAAAAAAAAACATCTTCAGGAGCAGAAATTATTTTACACCTTCACTGCCTGGACATTTCAGAAAGTGAGAAAATGTAAAAGATCACCTCTTGTACTACAGCAACATTCAGCCAGACAGCTTGTAGACAGAATCCAGCTGGAGGGGGGGAATATTTCATCTTCAAATCCAAAAATGATATTTGAGCCTTTCTTAGAAAAATTCTGCATTTCAAAACCAGTAAGAAAATGCTTCCTAATATAAAACCTTTTTTTTTCCCCTGGCCTCTTCTGTTTCAATTTTTACAGCGAATTTTACAGTAAATTTGCCTTTCTTCTAAGAGACAATGAAAATCAATTTTGTATACTTTTTGGAACACAGGTCTCCCCCTGTGCATCTTTCCAAAATAACACGGAAAACAATAAAATACTTTTCATAATAAAACAGTAACTCAGTTCAAGTTTGGTTAAATGTTGTTTACAAACAGAACATTTAAATATTTCCAAGAAAACCAAGAACTCTTCCCTTGGTGCTCTACTCTCTGCTCGACTTGCAATGCAGCGGCACAAGCTCACATTCCAGTCAGCCCTACAACCACAGCACAGGAATATGCTGAACAAATTCCCTATGGATTGTGTGCCTGCAAAGCTACAGCTTCAGAACAACAGCCTAGACCAGAGCTTCACAGAAAGACCCGAGATGGGATAAAGGGAAGCATCCCTGTACTGACCAAACAATGATGTGTTCTGACATCAAAAAAAGATCCACCAAATCTGATCTTCTATGTGCAAAGATTGCCATCCTGAATTTAAATGCTGCTTGAACTTCTAGCCATCTGAGATTATTCTCTTTCTTTACTGAAATCAGAAATAGTAACAGCAAAGAGCAAGGCTTGTGGCTAGTGTAGCTGAAGCAGAAAAGTGTAGTTAATATTAGTCTGCCCAAACCCCAAATGCAAGCACACTTAAATAGCAGAATGCCCATCAAGCAAATAGTTTGTAATACTAATAACTGCATGGCACAACTCAACACTATGTACAAGTGAGTCATCTAGTGAGCACAGCAGCACTTTGGAGGCATACAAATGACAAAAGTTACAAGATACAGACCAAAATAAGCACATGGGATGAAAAACAGGCCGGGCATCCTGCCCAAGGCACAAGAAGCATGACTAGCAAAAGTTAAACAAGCTAAAAAGCAACTGAATCCAGGGGAAGGAGGCCAAGAAGCAGGAAATGTCAGCAATGAGAGGGGAGAAATGAAGAGAGACAATCTCCTCTAAGAGCTCTCTAGCTTCATCACCTTCACCCTGGAGACTGAGGGACCCCAGCCACCAGTGCCAGCTGTACAGCAGCAGCTGCAAGGTACTGTGTAGTCACAGTTAATTAATTTAGTGTCAGAGACGGACAAGCCTTACAGACTAACAGTTGTATACACATGGCAATAATTATTACTATGCAGGAGCTAACATTAGCACAAAGCATGTGAAGGAATTGATTTAAAAGCTTTGTTTTCAAATTTGAAACCAGACACGTTTATCAGTCTTTTGAGCACTTTCACTCCAAGAATACAATTCCTTGAGAGAGAGATACACATACATTCAAGAACATATATAAATATATATATATATATGTATACCTAGGTATAATCATATACACCTATTATACATATATTCAGTAGCAGTATTTGATTAGACCACACCACGTGAACAGGGAAAAAAACCCATCAAGCTACATGAGAATCTGAAGCAGCATATTTAAGAATGAATTGCAAGCAAATGCAAATTCCTGAGTTTAGATCAACTAGGATGGGGGTGGGTGTTAGTCCAGGCCTCTGGAGCAGTGGAGGGGCCAGGAAGGCAGTATCAGAGACCACACAGTGGCTCTGCACAGTGCCAGGCTCTGCCCTTTTTTCCTACCAACTGTGTAACAGCAAGGCTAGCCAGAAGAAAAGGCATGGGGAATGCAAAATAGGCCATGAAAGTAATACATTAACACAATGAATTTTTATATCCAATAATTTTTAGTTTCCAGACTTATCCGCTAAAGGTGTTAAAACTCCTGAAGATCAGTGTGAAGAGAACAGAAACACAACAGTTGCTCTGAGATGCACTTTCCACACCTCCTTCTTATCAACATTCATGGCAGTGGTAAATTACTGAAGTGTAAAGTCCTAATGTCTGTTACTAAAATAACAGTGGAGAAAAACACTGAATACAAGCACCTTGAAGCTTAAAGGACTTTGTGCTATGGCTACAAGACTACAGCAAGTTCAAATGCTCCTCTACCTTTCAGAATTGCCAAGTACTAGATATTAATAATTGAGTCTTCGCTTAATGGTCTCATATGATGTCACTGCTATTGCACTCGGGAATTCCTCCCACCATTTCACAGAGCTGGTTTTAATCTCTTACCTGTAATAAAAGTCAAGCAGAAATTGATTCTGCAACAAATAAAGCTGTCTAACCATGTGCTACTTTCAGTAATTGGATGTAAAGTAACAGCTACATCAATAATGCTTGCAGAAAATATTTTCTGCTGTGCACCTAAGCTCCCTTCACAAGCTTCATTTCTTTCAGGCACAAAATCTCAAACTCAAACAAGATTGTTTTGTTTAAAGTAAAATAAATATGTGGATGAAAGAACAGGTGCCCTTTTCTTCAATTTGATTTGAAAGACTCTTCTCACGGGGAATGAAGACTTTTCACTTTTCTTCTAATTATTTTTTTTTTTACCAGAGTGATAACTATGGATGCGCCGAACTTATTAAGAGCAGAAATTGGGCTGAAAATTCCCTTTTTCAGGATCCTGTGACACCTCTGAGAAAGAACTGAATTCTGGAGAAACATGTGGGATAACAACATTCATGAATGTGTATATTTACATGTAGTCCTACTATTACCAGTGTGGGAATGTCATCATTCCAATAAAAATATGTTCCAGGGGTTTATTACTATCATCAACTGGGTAATTCATTTTAATTACTCTGATTTCAAGTTCCAGTTCTTAAATTGTCACTTTTCCCCCAGATATTGATGAGCCCCTTGAAATGGTATATTTTTGTGTGACCTGACACAAATCCACTAATCTCTCCATTTCCCCCCTTTTTATTAAACACGCCAAAATAAGACTTCCTTAAACTTCACAGTAATAGATCTTGACTTTAGGAATCAAATAACTGGGGGAAGGGCTTTTTTTCTGAGTTTTTCTGATTTTTCCAATATCCTTTTGAAATGACGATGCTAACAAATACGCAGCTGCTCACTTCTGGTCTCACTGTATCTGGATGTAACACCATTTTCCAATCCATTATTAGTTTTACCTACACATCCAAACTCAGATTAGCTAATTCCTCACAAAACAGTGTAGGAGACATACACAGTTATAATCTACCTTGATGCCTGGATCATTTTTAGGATCTTGTGTTTCCAGCATAGTCTTTCCTCCTGTAAGTGTACCTTGGATTCTTTCTTCTCAAGATGTGGAATTTAACCGTAACATTTTTGGATATGACCTGCTTGCCAAACAATTCACGTTTATCTCTCCTCTTCATTGTTTACTTCTTTTCTTACCAGTACTACTTCAGAGTATTTTTTAATTTTCTTCTGGGTTTTGAAGAAATTGTTAAACAGGAGTAAAATCTTACTTGATGCAGCTGTTCAGTGACAGTGCCACAAAAATGATTCAGCAGTAAGTAATTCATAACCCCTTAACATACAATCTGGAGGTATTGTAAAACATATTTAAAATCAGAATGCAATGAAATTAAAAAGGTTTAAGTATGCTGAAGCATAGCCATTGTTTCCTTAATCAGCTAAACATTTGCAATCTCCTCCCATATTCATTTGATAAAACCTATTCTGTACTTTGTCATTAACAATTAATCTTCCAGGCTTCTAATTTTCTTCTAGCTGTTTCTTTCAACAGATTTTCTAATACAAGGTTCAGGGCTGATCTCAAGCTGTCTAGACCACACACATTTGGACAGGATTTCCTCACATCTTTGACACATTTTTCTTTTTCACACTTCA